CATCTGGCCTGATGGTCGATCTAGCAACCACACACGAGGAGTTTGAAGTCTACAACTTATGAATTGATAACAGCTTGGAAACAGTCCCCTAAGCTACTGGCAGCGCGAAGCAAAGTAACTTTGCTGTAGTTGCCAGGGCCTAGATTAATTGTTGGTAATAAGATTTTTAGTAGTCTTGGTAAAGAAAAAGCAAATACTCCTTGCTACATAAAAATACCCTTGGAGCTTTAAGACCCAACTCAGAGTTATTACGAAAGAGGAAACCATCAAACATATTGTCTGCAACTGTAGGGCAGTAACAAATACTGACCAAGTACTGACCAAGTAACAAATATCTCTCCTAAACGGATAACGGATTAACAGTTGAAAACTATTTCCGAGATGGCAGTCGATACATCAATTAAAGAATTTCTAATTGTATTAAAATTTCTTTCATTCTCAAAGTTGTATATTAAGGTAGAATATTAAATACAATTTGTCCAAGGTTTCTCTAATATAATCAGATACATCCTTAAAGTGTGATTCTGAAAATATCTATTTATCGGTGTTTTCATTTTTTCACTCGATATAGAACGCTATCTAATACACACACATTTCTTATAATTTCGGAGTTTAATAGTCGAATCTACATCTACTTCTCTTGTTATAAATACACCGAAAGAAAGATTGAGACCTTGTTCTAGAAGTATTTTAGCGTTCATATAAATATTTTAGCGTTGATATAAATCGGTCATATCTTTGCAAAGTTAATTACCAATCTACATCGAAATAAAATCGTGGCCACAGAAATGCATTTTATGAAGAGTGATCCTAAATAATTGGTATGGGTTGAATTTGGAGAAACAAATAGACACTAAGATGGCCATTGCCCTTCTCCTTGGTCGCTGACCTTTATGATATCATCTCATTCGCGTTTATGGCAATATTGGGGAGATTTCGGAGTATACTGTCTTGTAAATGCTCACGAAAATGGGTTTTCCCAATATCCCAGAATGTAACGAATTTATATTTAGAAAGTTATTTATCTGAAGTTTGTGCAGATTATGATTTTAATAATTGATTAAAAACGGAATAGTTAAACATCTGATTTATGATGCTATTTCGATATCTGATTCTAAAATTCTTTTTAACTATTTATATTATGTATGTAATTTATAGTGATTTATGCATATAATTTATTAAAAAAATATATTTTATACAGATTACAGAATTAAATCAAAAAAAATATTTGATAAACCCATTCACCTTTAAACTGCGTATTTTGAGATAAAACATTCTACTTTTGCGATTTTATCTTTTGATTTTGCATAGATTAATTACGAGGGCAACGTGACAAGTTTTTCCTATCTTCCTATAAAAATATCACAAAGGCTACAAATTCGGGTTGCAAAAGAGGAAAAAAATTGCACACCAAGAAATTAAAACAATATTTTTTTTAAATATAGTACTAAATAATTACTTCTTCTTGTAGTGCCTATCCATTTCGAATGTTAGCGACCATCATGGCAATTTGTATTTTGTAAACGGCTGCTCTGAAAAGATTTGTGATTGTTGTGTTGAACCACGTATGCACGTAGATTTTTCAGCCAGTAAATCCTTCGCCTTCCTAGTTCTCGTTTTTCTTCTACTTTTCCCTTTAGAATTAATTGCAGCAATCCATATTTTTTGCTGTTTTGTAAAACGTTCTGATTAGTAACTTGATTGGTATAAGATCTTCTTCTTAGGATTCGACGATAAAGCCACAGTTTGAAAGCCTTAATTTTTCGTTTCTCGTTTTCCTTCTACTTTTCCCTGTAGAATTAATTGCAGTAATCCATATCTTTTGCTGTTTTGAAAAAGGTTCTGATTAGTAACTTGATTGGTATAAGATCTTCTTCTTAGGATTCGACGATAAAGCCACATTTTGAAAGCCTTAATTTTCTTTTAGAGTCCACGACTTAACTCCGTACAACAGTATAGGAAAGATATAACATTGTAGTAAGCTGACTTTTATGGGCAATTGTTTACAATGCAGATCTTGTTTTCTCTATCTTACATTTGTAGGTACGGTAGCTGTAGGGTTAAGAATCCTATAATGAGATCCGTTCTTAATATGTGAACCCATATCTCTAGAGTCTTTTAAGTATTGCAGTCTGGTGAGTGACGTGAGAAGTAAGCTCTGGTAGTGTTTCCAGTAGTCTGTAGAGGGATCGAGTGTCTATGATCTAGTATTACCTGTCAGTGAAGTTGCTTGTCGGTCAAAAGTTTTATAATTGGTCTAATTGAAACTGAATTTTCATCTTTAAAGTAAGAGGTAAAAAAATCACCTTAGTAATTACTTAATAGCTTCATAAATCCGTTGTAGACGCTAGCAACTATGGTGGCGTAAAAACCAATCCTAACCTTAAAATTTGGACTAGAATTCCCTCATGTGGTTGCTCCTAATATGAGACCCTTAAGTGTGCTTAATATGAGATATCATATTAGGGTACTGCAATGGTTTGTGTATAGCATCATGTCTATAGCGTTTTTTTTTAATATTTCAGATGACATCGCTTGCTAAAAATCACAAAGCGTGGGACTCAAGTATGATTATGCGAGCTGTCACAGCTGTGAGAAACGGTGAAATGGACTACAAACGAATTTTGTATAATATTTTGAAGTTCCTAAGGGCACACTGGAACGTTATGTTAAGAATACCGAAAAAACTGAATCATTAGTCGCTGTGTGTTTGGGCAGACGGCCATTTTGTCTGCGTGCATTAAAAAACTATTAGTCAACTATTGCTTAGAAATGTATTCTAGGTTTTACGGCTTAAGAAAAAAAATATATAAGAATGGCGTTTCAACTTCATTGTAAATCAATCAATCTGCTAAAGTATCAGTTTTCAATATCAAAAGAGTCAGCTTGTAAAAAATGCTAAAAAAAGGTTTTTTAAAGCGCCGTCCATAACTTTCCTTCAAAAAACCCCAAGAAACGTCTGTTGTCCTGGTTAAGGATTTCAGCCCGGAAAATATGATATTGTTTTTATCAGGTTTACGAGCCTGAAATTTTTAAAGATAAACAGTAATCCGATCAGGCTGTTCAATGTGGACGAAACTATGTGGCCAATTTAGCTTGTGTCGATTTTCCAAGTGAACTACACAAAGCCTTCAAAAGATGACGATCCTCATTGTCCTCGACGGGCATAACAGCCATACCAAAAACGGGGACCTTATTCAACGGGCACGGAACAACAATGTGAACATCGTCTACCTGACCCCTGATTCAAGCCCCAAAATGTAGCCCTGAAGGTTGGGTTTTTGTTCCCTAAAAACATTTGACGCAAATGCTATTGAAGATTAGCTTCATTTAAACTCTGGCAAGGTTGTGATAAACTTATGGTCAGAATCGCCTACAACAGAGCTGCCATAATCAACAACTCTATCAACAGTTTCAAGACAGTTTTATGCCCACTAAACAAACATATTTTTAGTGACCAGGACTTTCCTATTCCCTATCCTGGACTCTGCAAATCTTCTCTCAGAAGGAGGCCCATCACAAGCAGAACCACAACCGTCCTGTAGTGGTTCTGGGCAAGGTATCGTCAGTCCAGAAGACATAGTCCCGCTTCCACTCCTATCCCTCAAGGACCCCTCTAAGGCAGACAGGACTCGCAAAGCGGAATTAATTACATCTACACCCTACAAAGCAAAACTAAATGAGAATATTGCTAAAAAATTAACATATGTAGCCAAGAAACAGTTGTTCACAACACTTCAATCTAATGCAAGCCGAAATCCTAAACGTTGAAATCAAGAAAAATACTTAAAGAAATAATAGAAAATAATAATAATAGGAAAATGAAGACAGAGAAAACGTTTCAGGTGGAGGGATGGGTAAAGGAGTTCAAACAGGAAAAGGGAAACTACCAGGAGTGACACCTAAATCAAACTCAACCAAAGAAAACCATTATGTTAGTCAAAGGAGCGATGAAGAAGATGGTAAGATTTCTCTCCACGACAGCAGCGAGGTGGATGTTTGTATTCTTCTAATCAAGGGTCGGGGGAGGTGCAAGCAGTTCTAAAGTAATTTTTTGCTAAAAATTGCTAAAATGTAATAGTAATCAAAGTTTTTGTGTGTAATTAATTTTTTGCTAACGTGTCTTAATGTTTACAATATATTTGCTCATGTATTAATACAGTTTTTTTCAGAATAATACGTTAAAATAATTTGTATCGCCTTTATAACCTGTATAACGTGGTATCTTATATTAGGATACCGCATGGTCTCATATTAAGACACTTTTTTTCAAGATCAAAACTGTTTTATTAGTAAAAAAATGTTAGTTTAAAATTAGTTTTGAACCTATTGCAGTATAATAACGTTAATTATCATCCATTTATCTAATTTAAGACTACTTGAATCGATAAACTTTTCGACTACCAAGAGGTTTAAAAAAAGGGTCTCATGTTTTAATCCATTACCCTATGTATTGACTCTCTCTATTGGTTCTTAAGACTGATTTTTTCAAATTGTTGTTTCTTCATACATTTTGTTTTCTTAATATATAGTAAAAGTCCATTTGTGACTTACTTCTGCGATTCTATTCATTAACTCCCGGAGAGCTTCATTACTGTCAGCGAATATCACCGTGTCGTCCGCGTATCTGATGTTAGTGATACATTCTTGGTTAATTTGAATTCCGGCTTCACCATCCTCTACTGCTTCTTGAACGATTGCCTCAGAGTATGTTGAGCAATAGGGGTGATAGTATACATCCCTGTTGGATTCCTTCAGCTTGTCGTACTTTACTGTAGTGAACCCTTTGTGGTAATCAATGTGTATCGCAATGTACATATTTAACATATCTAACAGGTTGGCTACCAATGATATTGTAATGATTCTACGTTGTGATGCCATAATATGTATAAGCGATGATTAATTTTCTTGGTTAATTTCTGAACAATGTGTATCACCCGTGATGAGTGTAGTTTAAATGACGATTAATATTGTAGGTATATAAAATCAATCAAAAAAGAATGCCGGTGGATGTAAGTGAACCTGATAGCATGTCGGAAAGTGGGCATCACGGGTGATTCATCTGAATCAAGTTACAAAAGGAATAGGAAAATAGCAAGATCTGACGGAAAAGTTACTATTATTAAAACAGTCACGCATTGTTTATTGAATATTTTAATATAAAAAGTTACAGACAAAAAAATAGGTATATATTTGAACATAAAACTATTTAAGTGTCTTTTTTGAAACCAGTTTAGTCTTTTTTGCTGCTACTTTAGACTCTGTGAATTTCGTACTCTTTCTGGTAACAACCAACACATCGTTTGCTCTTTTTTCGCGTATCGTTTGTTTTTCAATCGTTTTTGGTTCATTCATATATCATGTAAATCTCCTGTGATCACAAACTAATCTCTCCTAAAAGTTATTCCGGTATCATATTTAAGTCGTTCAGAGCTACACCTATGAATCAAAAAAGACGTTTATAACCTTAATGTGCTTGGTGCCAGACAGAAATATATCCAAATGTTTGCCGGTATAACAGCGACTAAAACTCATATTATATCACTGGTGATTCATATGGGAACCAGAGATTCATATGTCAAATTCTCATTATGTGAGAGGTAGATAAAATCCCAATAACAAAATAGTTCATTTTTTTAAATATTTGTGTTCAGAAAATAATTCTAGGAATGGAAGTTAATACGCCAAGTATGTAAAATGATTTTAATTGCATTTGCGCTTAATTACCAAAAAGATTTTATTTAAAAATAACAGACTGTAAAATCGATGTTTCGCCACAGCGATTTTAGTTGAATGTTACGACATTAACCTGTTCATTACTTTAAAAGCCATCGATTGTTTTATTCACCTTACTTTTACTTTTTCGTGTGTGACAGGACACGTATAACATGGGCACGAGTAATTGGCAGGTAATTGTTCTTTACAAATTTCACCTAAATATTTAGCAATTGTGTTATTACTATTGTTTTAATTTATGCTTTTTTGAATAATCGAAAGCTATTATTCTTTCACGAAAAAGGAGACAAGTAATTACATGACTAGTGGTTTTAAATGAGAAAGGTCGAAATATGCATTTCTCCGTTTGTTTAAGCGATCATACTTAAAGTACTTAAAGGTTAAACTAGGAAATACAATTAAACTGAAATATTTGTAGAAGCCCAAGGAAGGTTTAAAAGGTGAAAAATATGATGAAATTGTAAGGAAAATAGTTATAAAAAACAATTTTATTTACTTATACAAACATTTATATAGACTTCTTTAAATTGACGTCACTAAAACCGTGGCTATCTTCACGTCTATTTACTTTTTTTTCTTTTCACGCGAATAAATGGAGTTCGATTTCCCGCCGAGTAGAAATTTTATTTTTTTAAATCCGTTAATTCTTAATCTTTTATTATTGAAGTGAATCCGTCTTAGCGCACGGTATGCCTATATGTTTTGCACGGGCCTGAATGAGTCCTCTCCTCTCTAGTCCTAATCCCTTTAGGGATGTGGTGACACCATCAGACCTTTGCAGTTTTTTTAGGATTTCCCTTCATCCTCCCCTGTCCTGGGCTAGTTTTTCGGCTTCATGTAACCTTTGGTTAATCAATATTTTTGTTTGATCTACCCAACAGCTTGGAGATCTTCCCCAAGGTCTCTTTCCTTCAACTCTACCCTCGACTATCAGTTTTTCCATCCTACCTGTTCTTCTAGCAAGGTGTCCAAAATACTGCAAATATCTCTGTTGTATTTGTTTAAGCAATCTATCCGTTACTTTAAGTTGTTCTAATATCGATACGTTACGATGATCAATCCAAGATATTCTTAACATGCGGCGGTATACCCACATTTCAAAAGCGTCTAGTTTAATTTTATTCGCTTTCTTTAAGGTCCACGTTTCGGATGCATATGTGGCTATGGGGAAAATGAATGCCCTTACCAGCCTTATTTTTGTGTGTATTGTTATGCTAGAATTTTTCCAAATTGTTGCCAGTTTCATCATAGCTGTTCCAGCAATAGTCAGCCTTCTACGTATCTCTCTGTCACACCCTCCGTCATTTGTTATTAGGGACCCCAGGTATATGAAACTATTTACTACTTCAAAGCCCCCAATTTCTTTAATGTGTTGAAGAATATTCCGAGCTCTGTCTACTCTCATGATCTTTGTCTTACTCCTATTTAGCTTTAGTCCATATGTACTGATATTACACCCTTCCATCCGTCTAGTACCTTTCGCGTAATGTTTTCGATGTAGATATTAAATAGAGTTGGCGAGATTATGCATCCCTGCCTGACACCTGCCTCTGTTCTGAAATGATCGGAATGGGTGTTGTTTATTTTTACTGTGCACTTATTATTTTTATATAGACTTCTAATTAAGTAGTTGAATTAAGTGGTGGGGTGTTTCCATCTTGGCTATATGGACCATAGCTGCTGCCATTTGACTTTATCGAAGGCCTTTGTGTAATCCACAAAGCACATAAGCATAGGAGTATTGAATTCACGAGTTTTTTCAATTAGCTGTCTGATATTAAGGATGTGTTCTCTTTTGCCTTTTCGTGGGACAAATCCCGCTTGTTCTTCTGATATTTGAGGCTTTGAGAAAAGCTTTTAGTCTTTCACGAAGTAGAATCTTGCTTGCATGGGATATTAGGGTTACCATTCTGTAGTTGCTGCAATCTAGCAGAGTTCCTTTTTTGAATATAGGGATGAAAGTGGATGTTGTCCAGTCGTTGGGCCACTCTCCGGTTTCCCAAATCTTTTTGCAGATCATATCAGATCGTATCATATGCAGAAGATCTCTCTCTGCAGTGAACTCGTCGTCATTTGCCTTCTGGGGATCATCTGCATATAGACCTGGATCAATAAGATAAATAAAATAAAAAAAAAAAAAGAATTTTTTCCGCTTATATTTAGTTCAGTCGGGTTAGACCAAAAAAGGCCCAACCTTGCATGGCGAGCTACCCCAAATTTTATTATTCTAACTTTTAGGGGGTAGGGGCAATAGTAGTGTAAATTTAAATTCGTGAATTCCGCGTTAGCAGCCTTTTTGAATTAAAGAAGAATTATTGTTAGATGAAAGAAACTTCCATGAAGTAACGGTCAAATCCATCACTTATTTCTTTATGTTTGCGCCTCTTTAATGGATTTAACGTCTGGTGTTTTTTTTTATTTCATTTATTAGCTTCTGATGTCCGAAAATTAAAAAAAAATGTGAGCTTAGAAACTGTTTATAAAAATACAAGGTCAATATGCAATAAATTTTATGTAAATACTAACATATGATATTTTATTATAATATTCCGGATTTGACTCTTTAAAAAATTTATAGAGGTGTAAATTTTGGTTTCCCTGGGTATTTCCGAAAAACAAATTGTTGGTGCTGTACTAAACCCATTCCATGTCATGAGATAACTATTCATTTTGACTTTGTCATTTTCTCACAGCGTTGCCGTATAGTCTTAATACTACATAATGTAGGGAGTTATAAAACAATTAAAATCTAAGATTAATTCACACGTCTAATATGGCGTGTTGATATCGATTTGCAGGTTGATTAAGTTATTGTATTGGAAGTCTTTAAGAACATTTAATTTACGTTTATTACTGATATTCAACCAATGAATTAGTTATATACATTTAAAAAGTTATTACGTAAACTAAAAAAATAGTGTGTGGAGAAAAAATTATCTTTCAAATGATGTGCCACTAGATCATACATGCTATTAGAAAAAAAAACTGGTGGTTGATGCTGGGCAGTAGGGATTACATTTGAGGACGTGAATTTTAAAATCATTCCCACCCAATACAAATGGACGTGTTTGTTTATATTTTGAAGAAACTCCTGTTTCAGGAATCAGAATTTTGAGTCAAATTTTCGGTTGAACACGTTGTCTATGCTTAAGGTTGATTTCCAATTCGACGCTGCTTTCGGAAGTCACGACTGCATGATCTCCCTATACATCAATTTCCATAACTGTTAATCGTTTTTTGTTATATTCTGTCCATTTCCATGTTTCAATATATTTATATATGAGAAACATGGAAATGTTTCTGGATATATTTTTTCCCTTTTTTTTGGTAATATTCTTGTGCACCATATATTATTTAATCTGGTTAGAACTGTTTTTTGGGTCATTCGTTCTTTAATTTCCTGCTTGTCGGATAATTCTTTTCTAATTTTTGCTCCAAGATAAACTAGTTTTACATTCCCTTATTCCTTTGTTTTCGCCTAAAATTAGGTACATTGTCCCTTCAATTAGTAGTTCACTATTAGTCCTGCTTTTTGGCATTGCTTTCGTAATTTTCTTGCTATATATTCCAAGTTGTATTTTTCCTGTGCCAGTATTATATGGTCATCAGCCAATTGTATATAGCTCTGTATTGTTCATTCCGTGGCAATTATTTTTCCAAATTTTCAATCTACATAATATGTTTTGACACACTGTTTCCTACTGTTTTGACCTTTAGCAGGTTCAAGTCTTACCGAAAGTGACCATTCAAGATGCATTTTACGCCAACAGTTGTCATTTTATTTTTTTGTGTAACCGACGACGTGGTTATTAAAAAGTCAGTTTTCTACTACACCTGGATGGAACATCAAGCAAAAAAGAGATCTACAGAAACAAGTTCTGCTCTACGTGATTTTCATAATAAATCTGAGTTTGGATTAAATACAAAACATCTTCGCAGATGGTTGTGCGGGGCAGAATAAAAATGCGCACATGAGGCATATATGCTCATGCTAGTGTTGTACAAAGCTGCCTTACAAAATATTAAATCTGTGATACCTATTTTTTCGGTACACGGACATTCATATTTGTCAGCGGACCGTGTTTTCGGGCAAATAGAAAAAGTGACACGATCTTACAGTGCAATAAAAACATATACACAATATTATAACATTTACTCGAAGAAGGGAGAAGTTAAATAACTTGGTAGGCACTGGTTTGTTTACAGTATAAATACTGCGTATAAATACTCTTTACAAAAAATGAAGGAATCAGTGCCTCCAAACGAATTGTTGTTA